CCGTTTTCACTCGAGTACCCGATTTTAAGTTACACGGGTGAACCGTGTGACAAATTTGCATCCGGTTCCAAACTCTAATTTTTATATTCACTAACTATTGCTCTTTCTGCCTGTTGATTAAATACTGCTTGAATTTCATCCACAACATCAACTAACCCAAACTTTGACTAAGCTTTGTTTTAATTACTTTGTTCAAATTTTTAGCATGTTGAGTGCTTTAAATTTCTGCAATGAAACATCTATTCATTGCATAACTAGCCCAACTACTTCTACAAGGATATAATGCACAGATAAGGTAATATTCATAAGCAAGAAACTCTTCAATTATTTGAGCCTATCTAACTTTAAATTTTTTTGATAAAGGGAATTACGCATTGTAAAGAATTTAGACCAAAATAATTCAAATTAGTCATTTAACTTTCCTTTTAGTTTTTCTTAAATTTAAACCTATATAGAATATACAATAAAAAAGTAAGTTTTCTGATAATTATTTTACACAGCTAAGATTAATACAAGATCTACATTTGAATATATTATAGCAGGAGTAACAGAGCAAGCTGTTTTTAATTTATTTAAAACTAAAAAAAATGTTGCTTTAGTTTCATCTTTTAGAAGTGCTACTGCTACTATTAAACTTCTAAAATTGTTGTCAATAGCTGTAACCATTAATAATATTATATCAAATTGATTGGTTTGGGATGTTGTATTAATAACTATGACATCATAAAACCATTTATAAGCTCATGTTTGATTTGAAGACATTTAGAACAACTCTGTTAACCTTCTATCATCCAAATTAAATTTTGGCTTTACTACCCATAATGGGTTCTCATCCTTCTTTAAATACAAATTAGTTAAAGTTTAACAGGCATTATTTTATTGCAGTTTTAATTGTTTTTTATAATGTTCTATTGCATTACTCAAATCCTTTTTATTGATCTTTTTATCAGAAAATGATGCAGCAAATAGATTATATTGCATTAATATATCTAACCTTCCATGAACTGTTTAAAATTTTATTTTTTCTAACATTTCATTAAATAGATAACAAAACCTTGGTGCAATTTCAATAATAAGAGAATTCATAGAATGATTATGCTCACCTGTAACACTATTTACATGAACCCCATATGCTGTTTTAGGAAATAATATATTAACATGCCAAGAACAACTGATCATTCCTGAATTTTTTTCCCTCTAATTTTCTGCTAATATCACCTTTTCAGCTTTATGTATATGTACATATAAGCATTTAAAAGTATGATGACATATTATGCTTTTATTAATCAAATCAGAGATGCAATGTTTTTTATGAAAGCAAAACTCTTTATGCTTGTCATAGTCCTCAAGGTATAATTCAGCCTGCTTTTATGTTTCAAATATCATTTATACTTTTAACTTTAACTCATTATCATCAGAGTCCTCATAGCCAGAATTTTCTCTTTTCTTATTGTCTTCAAAGCCATTTGACTAAATTTTACTAACTGATCCATTTTCATATAAAGGATAATACTAATTAAAAAAAAAGTTACATCATCTTCAGGCAGAGAATAATACAAAAAAGATGAATTCATGTTAGTATTAAATTTTATTTAAAATATAAATATGTTGAAAAAAAAAGTATAATAAAAATAAAATTAGGTATAATAGTAATAAAATAATAAATAGAATAGAAAAAGATCAGGTCAAAATAAAATAAACATAATTCAATTATAAGTAAGTAATATGATGAGACAAGTGAATTAAGCAGCATAGGTTGACGAATATGTAATCAAAATAAAGTCATAAAGCAGGACCAATTGTGAGATAGAGAGGATAAGACAACCAGATGCAGTGTACAAGTGAGCTTGAAGTAGAGACATAAATGCAATATTAAAAAAAGATGATGCAATATAGAACTGTAGAATGTAGTTTAGAGCTGTGGAATGCAATATAGAGCCATAGATATGATATAAAGCTGTAGATATAATACAGAGCTGTGAATATGATATAGATCTGTAGAATACAGTATAAAGCTTTGAAATGCAATATTGAACTGTAAATGATATCCAAAGAAAAGGTGACAAAACAAATAAAAAAGCTAAAAAAGATATGCAATATAGAGCTGTGAATATAAAATAGGATCATTGCTACAATCTAGAGCTGTAGCTGCAATATAGAATTATTGATACAATATAAAGCCATAGGTGCAATATAAAATCATTGATACAATATAAAGCTGTGAATATAATATAGTAACATGAATGCAATATTCAAGAAAATAGTGCAATAAACAAAGTAAACAAAAAAAGATGCAATTACAAAAAAATTATAAAAGTAGAATCAAAAAATTATATATACTTTAATTGAAATTATGTCATAATTAATTATAATGATGAGTTAAAATTTTATTAGTTTAACCTATAATTTAGAAGTTAAAATTTATTAGTTTAACCTATAGTTAATTTTTATTATTAATAACTAGTGATTAAAATTAGTTATATTTTATATTTAAATACTTGAAATTAAATTTAAAAATAAATTTATTTAAATGTTATTTATATTTTTTTTTATTTGAACATTATTATTTTTAATTTGTTTATAATCTTATCAGAAATAAAAATAAATAAATAACCTTCAAGTATTTTTTTTAAGCAGTATAAGCAAATTGTAATTCAAATATATATGTTATAAAAATAGATTTTTTAAAAAAATTTATTTTATTTTTATTAAAGCAAATTAAAATTATATATATATTTTTTAATTTTAAACAGTTATACAAATATTTTATTAAAATGCTTAAAACTATATATATATACAATTTTATAGAATTTTCTAATATCTAAGTTTAGCATTACTTGACTATCTTAATAATATCTAAGTGCAACCTGTTACACTATTTTTGTTAGAAATAGACTGCTTATCTAATACTTAAAATTATATCAGAAGAGTTTTTTCTATTCTATAACAAGCATATCAATTATCTTTTAAGCTTTTTTTATTTAATTTATCTTTTTTATTTTTTTGTTTATTTATTTTTTTCTTTTTCTTTGACTTTTTTTTATATGACTATTTTTTTATTTTATTTATTATATTGGTCTTTTTTTTCAATTTTGCAGCTTTTTATATCAAACTTTTTATACTTAATTATAAAAGATATTTTATATTGTTTGTATTATTATATCTATATACTTCTATATTATATACTTGTTTAAGAGTTATTTGAGTTGTTTTCTACTTTTAACATAATAAGCTTTTTTTTGAATTTTGGTAACAATGCCAGTTGGTTTTATTAGCTTTAATTTGATATAGTACAAATTTTACAGTTATATTTTTAGAATCATACTAGTACTATATACTATCTAATTTTATACTACTGACTTCATCTAGTTACCCTTATGGCATCTAAGTGCATGTTTGCCACATGTCTGCATACAGTTATCTTAACAACCACTTGTGGTCAGGACACACCATTAAACTGCTATACAGACAAGAATATTTACTGAACTTAATATAGTATCCCAAATATTAGGAGTACTGTCTTCTGTAAATTGTATCTATATATCCTACTCACATGTTTTACTTAGTCTTGTTTCTTCTGCCTCTGAATTTAACTATATCTAGTATTACTTTGTTCCTTACATTTCTCATATTTTTGTTACTGTATTACTCTCAAATTGGTCCTACTTGGGTATGTTTAATCCTTATGATCTTTTCATCTTTGGTATATCTGTTATTGATTCCTCTAAGATGTTCTGACAATGATTTAGAATCTGCAATAAACCTATATCTCAAGCCAGATCTGCTGCTATCATTGATCTTTTGACCAATTTGTATCTCAAGTCAGGTCTGCTACTACTGTTCCTGCAAATGCTTCAGGTCTTAATGTTATACAGTAACTCAATGTTGCATTTAATCTCCAACATAGTGCTCCTTTTTATAATAAGAACTGAAACTTGTTATACTTACAAATAGAACAATTCTGGTTATACTTAAGGAGTTCTTCTAACTTCAGTAATACTATATTACCATATATTGCAAGCTCCTAACTTATTTAATAATATCTGCAGAACAATTCTGGTTATGCTCCAGAAAGTTACATTGATCTTAGTGATGCCATATTATCTTGCAAATCTTATCTCATATTGATTAGTTGATCTCAGTCTTGTTCATCATAAACTTCCATATAGGTATCATCAGAAACCTGATTTGGTATTTTTATATTGTACAAGAAAGTTATACATCAACCTCCAAAATTTTCTCTTTTATAATTAGATTATTTAACTGTGCCAGAAGTGCTTCTAATTTTTGGTTAAACCAATCCTTTATCATAGCTCATCCTCATGTTTACTGCTTCTTTTACCATTCTAGTTTTGGTTATTTTCAGAATATTCTCTCAATCAAATCCTCTTTTTGAATCCTAATTAAGACTTATTTGCACAATTCATTGATTATTCTTCCAAGCAAGTACTCCACAAGTTGGATGCAGGGATGTTGATACCACCTATATTAGAAGGTATAAGAATATTGGTGCTACCCTAGCCTAAAAGACTTATATACACAATCTTTTCATAACCATAACCTTCTGTAACAATCACTTGTTATATATAGTGCTTGCACTTCATTATTGGGTTTCCTTCTAAGAATTCATATTTTTATTATTGTACTGCATTTGAACTTAACTACAGAGCTTTGCATTCAATTACAGGCTTCTTATTAGGTTACAAAAACTAAAATCTTTCAATTTTGCCTTTAGCCAGACTTGAATTGTTGACCTTGACTATGAAAGATATAAGAGCTTAACTGCTAAGCTATGAGACTCATATCTTATAAAAAGCTTTTATATTAATGCTTTTGTTTATAATTTCTTTTGCTTTAATTTTTTTTTTTTTTTAAATGTTAAAGTGAGTACATGTAACTCAGAATTTTATTAATAGTATATATTAGCAAACATCTGTTGACATAACAGACACAGAAACAATTATGAAAAAAGTGTACAACTAGCTACTTGTACAACTTTAGTTATTGTCTAATTTAAGTAGTATGCTCAAAGGTTCTATACTAGTTGCTATGTCTAGAACCTATCTGTAGATTCTCTATTTAAACACTCTGATATGCCATGATCACTAAGTTATATTTAACTTTGTATTAAACTTATTAGTACATTCTGTATCCCATACTTACAGCTTACTCAATATTACTTTGGTCTAAACTATTACTTGCAGTTAGGGCTAATCATTAAACTGCTATACTTTTATAAGGTTTACTCAAAACCTCAGTACTCATTTTTCTAATATTTTCTTTATCATTCTTTACTAATAGCTACTTAGGACTAACAGGATTCTTCAGACTTTCAATTCAGATAGTTTAGTATAGTATACCTTAGTATTTTTTTCTTCTAGTAATTCTAACAGCCTGGTTAGTCATATGCTCTTCTATACATCTTGTCATTTAGTTTATTCATTTATCTCTTTGAAAATGTTTTATGGACTTCTATCAGTCTAATAGCATTATCAAATGTTTTGTGCTATCTTCTTATTTAGAATTTCCAAGTAGGTTTTTGACTCTTTAGTTTCTTTGCTTTCTGTGCCCAGTGGTCTTATCATAAGTTTGCACCAAAGTCTTATGTAACACTGATTATTAACATTCTTCTATGTAAATATAATATTATATTTTGCATAAATGCTCTGAGCTCCCATTTGAGATAGT